GACTACGACTCCTTCGCCCCCTACCCCGTCCCCGAAATCCGGAGAGTGGCCCTGGACGCGCTGGTGCTGCAGGTGAGGCCCCCGGGGCTGCATCCGGATCGACGGTGCTGGGTGGATGGGTCAGGGCCGCAGTGCAGGCAGGCGGCAGGACGGCGCGGCCGCAGAGGGGAAGCTGTCCCTTCCAGAGGTCCAAACCTGGCTGAGGGGAGGTTAGTCCTGGGACAAGTTGTGACAGAATGCTTGTAGCTGTACCCAGAAACCCAGCAGGAAGTGGCTTTGGCTTTGGTTTGCTTTTGCTCTTGTGTGCTGGGGACCACGTAGGACCCACGCAGGATAGGTGGGGGCTGTAACACCAGCTGCGGCCCCAGCCCAGGCTGTGGGCAATTGCGGTTCTGGCTGTGCCTGCTGTGTGGGTTCTCAGACCCCTCGGAACCGGAGCTGTGAAAATGCAGTTAATCTGCTCTTCCCATACGGGAGGCCCACGGCCCCTGATGCTGTGGGGTGGGGGCTCTGCAGCTTCCCTCTACAAGTGGCTCTTACAAGGATGATAAAAACCGTAGCCGGGCATGGTGGTCCCAGCACTCAGGAGGCCGAGGCAGAATTGGTGAGAGTTCAAGGCCAGTCTGGGCCACCTAGTGAGATCTTGTCTCAAGGAACAGTGACAGCAGACTTGATAAGCAGACCATCTAACCTTAACATATGGAGGACTTGCTCCAAATCTCAGCAGAGTCAGGCACTCTGGAGCCGCTGTGCGAGTGGCAGACAGGTGGCGCTGGCAGCTCTGGTATCTCTGTCACCGGAAGTGGAAGCAGGGAGCTGCTCCTCTTTGTGGGTCTCGACTTCAGAGCCCAGAGAACCTAGGCCTGGAGGCCCTGACTGGGCCCTGTCCTGTCTCCTCAGCACAGCTGGGCCCAGAGTCCACCCAGTGTGGCCAGTGCTGTCTGGCGGGCCTGGCTCACGTGCTCATTTGTGCTCCTGACCCTGGAGGCTCTGCTTCTCGCTGGCAGATGAAGAGCATGAGTGTGGGGGACCCGCGTACCTTCCCCTTCATCGAGCCGCCGCCCCCAGCCAGCCTGGAGACCGCCATCCTGTACCTTCGGGACCAGGGTGCGCTGGACGCCTCCGAGACCCTCACACCCATCGGCTGCCTGCTGGCCCAGCTGCCTGTGGATGTGGTGATCGGTGAGGATTCACCCAGCGGTCACGTGCACCCCTGTCCACGTGACCCCTGCCTTCGCCAGGCTCCTTCACGGCCCCTCATGTGGCTCCTGCCCACTCCTGCTTCACCCTCCCCTCACTGGGCAGGTCCGAAGAGTGTCAGGACTGGGCATGGTGATGTGCACCTGTAGTCCCAGCACTCCAGGAGGCTGAGGCAGGAGGATTGCAAGTTTGAACTCAGTCTGGTCAATTTAGTGACTCAGCAAGACCATGTCTCAAAATTTAAACAAAGGTCTGATAATGTAGGTCAGGGATGAGGTCCTGAAAACAGAAGAAGAGTGTTGGGAGGCAAATCAAGCCCAGGAGGGGCCAGAGTACCTGGGCGGCCATCTGCTGTGGGTGAAGTGGTCATGGCCGGCTTCACGCCAACAGATGGGGTCAACCGGCTCTGCCCGGAAGGCCCAGCATTTGGCTCTGAACCTGCTCCCCCAGCTCCCAGGCCTCTGGTTGAGGTGGGCTGGGGTAGGAGAGCTGGGCCGGAGGCTGAGGCAGTGCCTCCCGCAGGGAAGATGCTGATCCTGGGCTCCACGTTCGGCCTGGTGGAGCCTGTGCTCACCATCGCTGCTGCCCTCAGCGTGCAGTCACCTTTCCCGCGCAGCGCCCAGAGCAGCCCGGAGTGCACGGCGGCACGGCGGCCCCTGGAGAGTGACCAGGGCGACCCCTTCACACTCTTCAACGTCTTCAACGCCTGGGTACAGGTGAGGCTGGTGGTGAGGCCCCGCTGCCTGGCTGGCTGCCATCCCCGCACCCCAGTGTCCCTGCTGCTGTGCCTGCTCCCTGTGCCCTCCCGCTGTTGGTGCCACTGTCTCAGGGATGGCGTGTGGGCGGACCTGGGCCTCTAAGGCGTGACGAAAGCCAGCTGCCCCTGCCTGGCGAGAGACAGCCGGTCCCCGCTCGGGCGGTGAAGGGCTAAGAGCGGCCCACCTCCCTTGTGGAGCCTGGGCATCGGCGGGATGGCCTGGCCACGGTGGCCGTGCTGCCCGTGGTGCCTGCAGTGCCCGCTGCCCTGCCCCAGGTGAAGGCCGAGCGCAGCAGGAACTCGCGCAGGTGGTGCCGCCGCCGGGGTGTGGAGGAGCACCGGCTGTACGAGATGGCCAACCTGCGACGCCAGTTCAAGGTGACCCGGTCCGCCCTGGGCTTCTTCCTGAGGATGGGGAGCCTCTTCTGGCCTCTCCTCCCATCCCCACGGGTTGGTTAATGTCGGGGTGATTGTTTCCTGATGGAGACGCCCCCGCCTCTGAGTGCCGGGCCTTTGCTGTGGTCCTGGACCGGTACACAGAGGCTCGGGGCGGGAAACCTGGCCACGGCCCCCACCCCACAGTTTCCGACAGACTCGGGGACTGTGGATGTCCTGGCTGTGATGGCGCCGTCTCGGTGTCCACAGCTAGAGCCGCGCTTCAGCCCGGGCTGGGCCCAGGCGCTTTGAGGATCGGGGGTGGGGGAGTTCGCTCCCCTTGCCCACCGCAAGTACTCGGTGTCCTGTGTCCGCCACTGGCCAGGGCTCCCGGGGACTCACGTGGCAGACTGCGTCACTCCAGGGCTACGGAGGAAGGGAGGTCGCTCCAGGGTCTTCATGGCGGGGTCCCACCCAGCCCACCCCAAGATTCAGGCTCAGGGCCCTGGGGGCTCCGGCAGGGGCAGTGGGGGCTGTGACCGGAGCCCGAGACAGCAGG